TATTTTCTTGAGTTTCTTTTGGAAAGCTTTTCTGGGTCCATTGATCCATGAATATTTTTTAGCAGCATTTATTAAATCTAGAAAATTTTAAAAGTAGATAGATAACAGAAAACAAATATATACAAAAATCCAAGTGTAAATTTTCTATAAGAATTATCTTTAATTTTTCTTGCAACTCATCAAAAACAAAATTATCAGCTATCAGAATAAAACATCCATTATTTGATTGATGGTAATGCTCTTGTTGGCAATAACATTCTTGTTGTTGATGATGTACTTGTTGTTTTTACTGTGAGACAATAATATTATTTAATTAATATCTTCTACTTCTAAAATTAATATAGTAATAAAAAATAAAACATAAAAAGTTTTTATTTACTATATATCTAAATATATTTCATTATTAAATAATCTGTTGATATCATCAGTATTTGTGGCTAATATAATAGATGTATAGCATATAGATAAAACATATAAAGCAAACCGACATACTCCAAGCCCCTTGTATATTACATCTATCTTCAGCACTACACATTTAACAGAGAAACTCCATGAAAATTTGATCAACATAATAAATATCCAGGTTAGGTGCAGAAACCTAATCTTTTCCTAGATTATCAAGTAACACATACGTGATTCCTATTTGCACAATATTTTCATATTAATATAATGTCAGGAAAAATTGAAGTGTACTATTCAAGTGTTTCTGGAGACAGACAAGTACAAATTTTTTTTTTAATTAACAAAATAACACCAATTATTGTTAATTAATTGATTATTTATTTATTTAGACTCAAAGTAATCAAGCCCTAGTAGAGAATATATTAAAGGCTAATAAAATTACTTATCATCTTGTTGATATATCATCAAATGAAGAAGCATTAAAATATTTAAAAAGAAAAAGTAAAGCTGGAAAATATCCTCAAATCTTTGTTGATGGTGCATTTAAATGTGTAAGGGCATCATTATCTAATTATATAATTATCAAGAAAGGGGGTTTTTTTTTGAGAAAATAACAATTAACCAATTTAATTTTCATTATTATTGTTATTTTTTAGTATGCAGAAGAACTTGAAGAACAAAACGAATTTAAAACAGTTAAAACATATTTGGGACAACAATAATAATATGTTTATATATTAATAATATATATACACAAATATATATATTCTCAATAAAGTTTAATAATATTGCCCAGTCAAACTATAATCTGAATTGCGTGGTAGACCTATATGTCCACCAAGAATAAGTGCTGCCCCAGATGGAAAGAGACGAAAATGTAATTGTTATTATTTATTAGCTTATCAATCAATTTAGTAATGTTGATTTATTAGTAACCAATTGAATCATTAAATCACACATAACTAGTATACAAATCATTAACTTGCATAAGTGTAAATGATGATGAAACACTTTGTGTTTCTTTAATAGATCTTACTCCTGTAATAGTTTTTCTAATTAATCATATTAATTATAAATTTAAAAAAATTCCTTTCCAAGTGACTACAGTAAAATCAAATACATCATACACAATAAGGCTCCGAACGAATCGAATCGAATCTAATTTTAAAGTGATTCGATTCGATTCGATTTGATTAGTGACTCGATTCGAATCAATTCGAATCAAACCGATATGTTTTTATATGTGAAGCAAAAATCCGTTATGGTAAGAATTTATTATTATTATTATTTATAGTCCGCTGTGACAAGGTTGGAATATAATAATAACGGATTTTTGGAAAAAATTTTCTAAACCCAAACTATCTTCTAAACCATGATTTAAATTTTTTAATTGATAAAGGATATTATAGCCGAAACTGTTTTTGAAAAAAAGGTAGTTTCGTCCAATACACATAATAAGTAAATCAATCTAACTTTATTTTAAAAACTCTCAATTTCGACCATTAAAATCAGTTTCGTCAAAGTTTAGGCCAATTAATTTCGGCAATTTCGGCCCATTAAGCGTAGTTTCGGTCACCATCACTAGTTCGAATCGTGCTGAGTTGGATCAGTTCGAATCAAATTATATATTCGTATCAGTTCAAATCAAATTGAATCGAATCAGTTTGAAACTAATCAGAGTACAATTCGAATTTGATTTAATTCGATTCGAACTGATTCGAATTTCATTGATTCGTTCGGAGCTTTATTTAATAGTTGTCGAAATTATATTTGAACACTTCAACTCGATAGCTGAAGTTCTGGATAACCTTTTAATGTCTATGGATATAAAGAATAATGTAAATCCGAAATTGCTTATTGAAATTGATTTTTTTCAAAACCATTTCAGCTAACATCTTTAATCTACTCTTTGAGATGATCTGATCATTGAAGATTTCATTGAAAAGAAGATGCTCAAAAAATAGCGTGTTAAGATCTTCAGCTTCTTGATGTGTGCCTACATTTTGACTAGATGATTTATTTGTTTCTTTGTGACAGGTTCCCATCCTCACCTCTTGAAGAATCTGATAAAATTGATGTTGTTTATTTGCCTCTAAAATAGAGGAAGGAATTTTTTCAGGCTGGCAGGTTGAAAACATAGGAAGGGTGAACTGGGTGCAGCTGGGCCAAATCCCCATGACCAACATTGGTACACCTCCAAAAATGTAAACCCAGGAGAAGGTATTGCTGATGAAGGTGAACAGATCATTGTTCACCATAGATATTTCATTTATTATAATGGTATTGATTTTCTGTAGCTCAGTCTCATGCGCACTGTTTGAAGTAATAAATGTTTTTTTGTATCTTCCCTCCCAGTACTTATCTCACTTTCAAGGATTAGTTCATGATCTTTCCAACCAATGTTCTGGGTAGTGATGCCAGCAGGGGCTATCAACAGGTATTCTTTCTTTTAGACTAATGATTTGAAGGGCTTTCCGAACCTGTCAAAAAGAGGTAGAGATATTTTCCATCTGATGATTTTCCCCAAGTATTGCACAGGGTGCCATAATACTATATTGCTCATTCTGAAGCAATTATATCAAGTGGAAGGTGATGTAATGCCAGTTGGTGAAACATGATATCAGATAGATCTTGATTCTCAAGCTCAGGTAAGGGTGATCCTAAGATTGTCACATATGCCTCTGGAATGGTGTTCTTTTTTTTAGGTGGCTATTTTTAAGTGAATTTATTGCTTTATTGTGTCTTAGAGGGGATTTTTCTCAATATGTGATAAAACATCCTAGCAAGTCTTATTCTGATCTTGCTGTACCTTCATCACAAGTTATTGAAAGAAAAAAGCTTAATGTGTATTTAGTGAAATGTAAAAGAATGGGTGGCATTCACTGGGCAGCCACCCCACCTTTTCTTAACCCGCATTACTTTTTTTGCTGCTGTAAATTACAAAGAAAAATAGGCCACAAAATTAAGATACAAATCTTACAAACAAAAGAACTGAAATGCAAAAAAGTTACAACTTAGAAAAGAGAAAATTGAGAAAATGCTCCCAGAAGATGTTTGGAATTTTGATTAGCAAGAAAAAAGGGGTGGAAATTAGAACAGGCTTGTCATAAAATTATGGAGGAACATATTTGTTCTAAACAAACTAATCAGCAAGAATTTCAGGGTAACAAACAGCGAATATGAATAGAAAAAAATATATTTTGCCTTTCTCGGACAGTTTTCAACTAAAATGATGACATCATTTACTTTTTGCTTCATCCAGACTTGGCTTAATTCTATTAATTACTTGAATTTTCAAAAGGTTTTTATTGAAACCAAATGAAAAAGAAATAAAAGAAAACGAAGGAGAGAAGATGAATAAAATAATTGAAGCTATCGAAAAAAGAAAAATAGTAAAATTATACCACAAGAATGCAATAGAGGAGTTAGAAAAAAGAGGGAAAAAAGACCCAGGGTTAAAGATTTTTCTCAGGTTAACTTACTAACTGGGGAAGAACACAACCAAGAATTAGGACTAGTTAAAAGACCAAATTAATTTTAATTAACATAGTCACAAAAACCCAGAGTTCATAGAAAGAAAAATTAAAGATTTACCATAATCAGAACAAAGAACTGATTGAAAAAGGAGAATTTCCCATCATCTGTTTTAAAAATATTGAAAAAACCAAGCCTTGGAAGAAGCTTTATTACCAGTTTTTGATTCCCAACAAAACACTAAATTATTTAATAAAGAAGTGGTTTATCAAAATTCATTTTAATTGCTATTATACTACCCACGAGACTGAAAAATTATTAGACCCTTTGCTTTCTCATTTAGATTGGGTTAATGCAGACACTGCTCAACCAAAAAAAAATTTCTTTAGATAATTTTATTAGTATTGTTACTGGTTCCAAAAAAAAGTAATAGTAAATGTGCATTCAAAACAAAGGTAATCTGAAATCAGTGATATTAAAAATTTTGAATTCTGAAGTCCTTGGTAATACAGATGTTCACTTTGTCTGATTTCGTTGCATATGTATATATATATATAAATAACACATCATCAACTTCCTTGGATGTTCTATTAGACATCTACGTTAAACGTTGGAAGAATAGATGGTTGAGGAGTGTTATGGTCTACTTAAAACAAAATCAAATAATCTACCAGTCCTTGAATATCATGTAGTGCACAAAAAAATTGATAAAGCATTTTACATATATGTTATTGGAATAGTCTTTTATACTTTTCTAATAATTAAATTACTCCCTATTTTTAGAAATATACTACATAACATTCATATTTAAAAATTTTGACAGAGAAAAATGAAAATTTTATTTACAATTGATTTTTTATTAAAAGTATTTGTTATTTGTTATTGATTCTTATCATAAATCTATATATTTATATTTATATGTATATGTATAGTTGAAGGTTTTTTAACTAGAAAATAAATTTTGATATTTATGAGCTAATAAAACCATATTATCATAATTCTTTAAATCTAAAAATATAAAACAATTACAATATTAACGTTATTATTATTATTATTATTATTATTATTATTATTATTATTATTATTATTATTATTATTATTATTATTACCGAAATTATCATTACTAAATTCACGGAAAGTTGTTTCTTGTAAAACTTGTTCACTGTTTAATACTCCAGTAATTTCAACATATTTGCTATTATAATTATTACCCTAATATCACAATAATTCATATATTTTTTTAATTATTTATTTTTAATTTTATTTATTTTTAATTTTTATTTTTACCTTAAGCGTTATAACTTGAATTTCACCACCATCACTAGTTTCGATTGTAACTGAATTGTTGGCTTTCTATTGAGTGAATAATTTTTTTATTTTACTGTATTAAAAAAAATGTCATAAAAAATAGAACATTAAAACTTTACAAACTTTAGAAACGCGTCCTACTAAACAAACAGTACGACCAATATATTGAGAACTGTTAGAAAAGTTAATCCTTGGTCCAGTGTTATTCATTTTTAAAATTTTTTTTAAATCAAAAAGTTGGGATAGATTTTATTCGTGTGTCATTATCAAGATCTGCATCCTAATATTTTTATATATATATTAAATAAGGACTAAAATCTCATCTAAAATAGGAAAATATTACTTTTTCATGATTAGCCGCGTGATATAACAAAGTATTTTGATTTATTAATTTAATTGTTTGTTTTTATATTACACATATTAAGAAATTATAAAAAATAGTAGCATTTCTCTCTATTTATGTATATATATATATATATATATATATATATATATACATTTTTTAAAAAATATATCATCAATCTTTATTTTTAATGGCCTTTTTTCTACGATCTTCCAAGTCAACATTGGCAAGGTTTCGACTAGCACCAATTAATTGAATAATATTAATTATTTGTTTTGTAACACATACAGGAAATGAAGCCATGGTCAAAAGATAAATGGCAAAGGTTAAATTTGAATCTAATAAAGGAAAAAATATAAAATAGAAACCCATTCGTTAAATATATATATATTATTTTACTATTAAAAAAATAGAGAGTATTTGGAAACTTACTAGATATTTTTGATAATAAATATAATGAAACAAAAAATGATTCATTTAATGCACATACAAAAAACAGAAATTTCTATTTATATAAAATTTATAAATTTATACTTGTTAATAACTCAATAATTAATATTATTAAATCGATTATTGTCAACTCACGTTATTAGAATAATAAAGACGTAAGATACGATTTGAAGACTTTGAAACTTCTTTGTGACTTGAAAACCCAGTCATTATTGAACTAATATGCATGTAATAATATATAGAATTATAAGTAATAGATCTATCAATTAACATTTATCAAGGACATGATTCACTACTAACCTGTACATCTGCATGTAATGACTACTTAAGTCCAAAGATATCAAAAGTTGAAATACAATTGTCCAATATGGATAAATAAATGCAAGATAGCATAGTAAACATGTTGTTGTAGATCTATAAAATGGTTTTTTTATTTTATGTTGAATTATTTTTCTCTTCTCACTCATTCGATAATAAATAATTCTAGTATTATTATTATTATTATTATTAACCTATCTGTCACCATGTCTAATGCTGCTCCAAATTTACTACCTAAGTATATTTTTTATCATCAAAATTAGGGGTTTTCATATTAGAATGAGTAAGTGAGTGAGTAAAGCAAGCTAACAAATTAATCAATTAAAAGTTTTGTATATGAATAATAACTATAACAATAATAATTTATTATCACACATTACATTGATTATAATATCTAGCAAAATGCCCATCTAATGCATCCAATAGACATGAAATTATATAAAATCCCATACATTTCCATGGCTCGAATGGCATATAATACAATGAAGCTAAAGCAAGTAGGATTCGAGTGTAACCTAGTTGCCATAAATTAAAATTTAGAGAAATTAATAAATAATATACGCACATAATGTATATATATATATATATATATATATATATCATTATTTTTACAAAAAGTCTTCAATAATAGATCGTACCTATAAGATTTGGGACAAATAAAAATACATTTTCATTTTGTATAAAACTTAAATTCTTTTCAGATTGATTTTGTGATTGTGCTGGTGGCTTATGTTTATTTGCTTTATTTGCCATGAAATTTTTTAATAAATTATATGTTTAAAAAATAATTTACAATTTTTTTTTTAAATCTTAGATCTATAAATGAAAAAAAATTTTTTTTTGTTGAAAATTTTTAATTTTTAATTTTTAATATTAATATTCATTCACTTTCATTTTATCGTGGCCAATTAGAAACGGGGGCGATCTAAATTTAGAAATTTTTTTCTTTTCGCGTGTAATTAATTTTGTGTATTAAGTTTCTGGGGTGATAATTATCCGCCTTGACATACAATTTTTTTGCTGAGACTCGTGTATTCGAATTATTCGCTTATTATTATTATTATTAATTTATTGTGAATTACTATTACATTGAATAAAACTAATACTAATAATCTAATAAAACGAATAAAACACTAATCCAATCCAGTTAAAAATATCAATTTATTTTTCCTTCGTAGTCCTTGTATATAGTGATAACAATAACAATGATAATAAATAGTATTAGCAGAGGTAATTGACATTTTTCTTAAGTCATAGTAATATAGATTATAAATTTAATTATTGTATATTATCTAAGGAAATAAGACTTTATTTATAAATTTACAAATTAAAATCCTTTAACAATAACAACAACAATAACATAGAATTTGTTGCATCAAGCCATGAATTAATATTTTATAATGAATAAAAAAAAAACGAATTAAGTTTGATTTGTATTACGAATAGAAACTCTGCCCGTGTCGTATGCTTTAATTTATCGTGTGCAATGCACAAAATAATTTCAGGGTTCAAAGTATTAAAGTTTGCTAAATGCCATAATGATATCTGCTTATAAAATGACAAATAGTATTACTCCTATATAAAAATAATTAATTTATGTAAAATTCTGTACTATTAAAAGTATTTTGAGAAAAGAACAAGGGTGAAAAATTGGCTCTTATGCTTTTCAAAATAAATAATATCAGATTATTTATCTGAGGAAAAGAAATTATCTATGAAGCTTGCCAAGAAGAAAGAAAAATAATAACACTTGAAAAAGAAATCAGGATGAAAGTGAATAATTAAGTATCTAATTAATTGGAGACTTTTTCAAGTAATGATAATAAAGTTATCCATAACCAAATAGACTTACCATCGACTCTTTCTTCTCTCTTCTTTTCCACTATAGTTACGATTTAGCCCAAACCATTTGAATTGTGAATTAAACCACAGTTTAATAATTTTCATTAAATTTACAGTATCACCTGACTTCAATTTAATTTTTTAAAGTTCAAACAAAAAGTTTGGTTCCTAAGGAAGGTTAGTGCTATATCTTAAACCGAATATTAAAATTAATACTCGAACTAGCCGGAAGGAACAAACAGTGAACAGTCGACTCAAATGAATAAATTGGATATTTTGTAATAAACAGTGTAACAGTACTACGACGCGATAAATTTTTTACAGATCCAATTTAGAAATCATCATTATGATCTATACTAAATTTAGTTGAAATTTTCGCGGTGTGAGCATATATTAAATATTAAATATTAATATAGTAAAAATAAGACTGGGAAAACTACTGAATGTTATAATCACCGCCAAATTAACCTGCCTGATCAATATCAACGCGAACCTCGGAAGTCGATTGGTGGATTTTTCTGTTTAAGAAATAGTTAACAAGAAATGAGCTAGCTAGATTTTTTTTCTTTCGAATCGTAGTGTTGGCGGTGTGAGAGGTTCCTGGCCCTGTAAAAATACATGTATTAAAAGGAATAGAACCGGAAATTGTACCTAAAATTTTCAAAATGGGTTTATCCAGAATCTTATTGGCTAATTGAAATGATATCAACAATACCGCATGTGTGTATATTATATTGATTTACCCAAAAGGTATATAGTTTAATTCTCTCAAGGATCCCGCACTATATACTGTATAAATTAAGTATATTTTCTTAATATTTTTGAATGTTTAATAATTGACTTTTTGAATTAAAAATATCATGTTCATATCCATTGTTGATCCATGAAATAATATTAAAATCTTTTCTCTTTGTAGTCAAAACATCATTACGAATCTACATAATTATTTTTCCCAATAATTAAACAATTAAATAATTAAAAAATGGCATCACTACAAAATTTTAATCAAATCTAGTTTAGAAGTTTTGTAATAATGATAATAAAAAAAGAAAGTGAATGAATAGCTTAGGCTTAAGAATACAGGAATAGGAATAGGAATGGCATAGGAAATATATTTAAAATCATTTGAATGTAAAATTTTACATACAGGAAATTATTCAAATAATATAAAAAGGCGAAAATAACGTCACACCGCTTTATAACAATTTCTTATGCAGTATTCCTAAATGGAGAATAGGCATCATTTACCATCTTCCTCTTCTACTATAATAACCTCTACCTCTACGATTGATCGGAGGTGATACATTATTTGAATGTTGCTGATGGTTAGAAGCGCTGCTGCTACTATTACTACTAGTGCTCTGTGAAGTTTCAGCCTTAATATTATTATTATCGTTGTCTTTGTTGCTATTTTCTTGAGATGTAGCAGAAGTTTTCGCTGTAGACGACGACGCAGGCGAAGAGGACGCAGTAGCAGAATCAGTGGTAGCATTAGATGTATTTGTAGCAGGTGTTTGTTGTTGAGATTGAGGTTTGGTTAATATTTGTATTTGGCCGTGATGTGGTTTATTATCAAAGCTATAATTTCTTCTTTTATCACGTCTATTACGATGTGATGAATATGGAGAATTTGAATAACTTGTAGTGGATGATCGTGTCGATGAATTAATTGTTGCTGTTGAGGTTGTTGCCGAAGTTATTTCCTTGTTAGGCACTTCATTCTTCTTTGTTTCACTGGTATTTTCTTTAACTTCAAAATTATTATTATTATTGTCAAAAGAATTATTCGGTTCTTTAGTTTCGATTGTAGATTCTTTATCTTCTTTTTTTACTGGTCTTTGTATAATTTGTCTTATTTGATCTTTTTGACGTTGTTGAATTGTTATCTTTACAGCTGAATTTCTTATGGGTTCCTTTTCTTTTGATTCGTTGGTTTCAGCTTTAATGGTGGTAGGTTTAGTAGTAGCATCATCACCTACCTTATCAATTTTTTGATCTGAATTATTATTATCTTTAACAATTTCTTTATTTTTTTCATCTCTCCCTTCCTTCTCCTTCTCCTTCTCCCTCTCCCTTTCTCTTGTTCTTACCCTTTCCCTTTCCCTTTCCCTTTCCCTATCCCTATCCCTTCTTTCCCTATCCCTTTCTCTAATTCTTCTATCTTTCTCTCTAAATCTCTCACGTTCCCGTTCCCTCTCCCTCTCCCTTTCTCTCTCCCTATCCCTATCAATTTTTCTTTTATCGTGATCTTTCTTATTGGAATACTTTGAAGAGTTATTATTATTAGCAGCAGCAGCAGCAGCAGCAGCTTCAATTGCTTGAGCAGTTCTAGAAGGTTGAGCTGGTTTAACAACGGATTTAGATGTTGTTTGTGATGATGAAGGAGGATTGGCGGATGAAAGTATTGATGAAATTTTTGATGTTGATGATGTTATAGTTGTTAAGGATTTTGATTTAGTACCAGATTTTTGAGCACGTAAATATTCAATTAATGGAGTAGTTTTTGGCTTTTCAGGCGCATTCGATGCTGCATTAGCTAATAAACAAACAAACAAACAATGATAATAATGATAGATAGTAAAGGTATTGTGGTTGTTATCGTTGTAGTTGTAGTTATGAGATGAGATATTAGCATGATGATTATTTGTAAATAGTTAAATTATTTTTTTTATTAGCTTATTAATATTATATACCTGCAGCACTAGCTAAACGATTTTCCAATCTTTCTAATTGAGTAGCACCGCCTTCCAAAGTGGCACTTGGTTCTTTGAATGCATTTTGTTGTGCCTCTTCCGCTTTTATAGCCTCAAGAAATGCAATATAATCAGGATCTGAATTTATGAATATTTAAATAAATATATATCTGCATATATGTAAATTTATCTATCAATCAAATGTATTTATTGATGTAGTTAATTGCCTGTTTCAATTGTTCCTTGCTTTGGATCAAATTTTTCTGTTTCTTTTGGTAATTTTTGGTAAATTGCAAACTCGACTACTGCTTTATTTTCATTTCCTATTTATTGGTTTTTTAGAAATTTAGAAATAAAATATAAAATTTTTTTAAAATAATATAGGAAGGAACCTTGTTTATCTCTAAATAAATGATTATCATAAACTCTATGAAATTCCAGTACTTGTTCAATATTTTTGAAATGTATATAAGCTCTTGAATAAATACATTCTTTATTTTTACTATAAAAAATAATTCATAAACAATAAATCTTTTTTTGCATATTTTATTTAATAAATATTTTTTAATCGGTTTTTTAATAATTACTACCTTTTACTAACTCGTCCTGGATAAAACTTGAAATGATCAGTTGTGTTTTCATTTACCCATTGTTTAACTGATTCCAAGAACTGACTTTCAGGCAACAAAGGTGGTAAACGTCTTATGACCACTTTATTTTTTGAAAGAGTTTTACTTCTTCCCGAACTTCTTGGTTTTGATTTCCTAGGTCTTGAAGACCTAGAATGTCTATTCATCATCATCATCATTTTTATCAAAATGAATAAAAATGAAAATAAAACGATGATCTTTTAATAGTCAGTATTTTTCCCAAATATGGAATTTCGGGATTTGTTCCAGAAGAGTCGACAATTTCGTTCCCGTAATACTTTTGTTTTATCTTCTCACAGGAAAAAAACCAAAATGCACAAACCAAATAGTATACATTTTCTTCTACCAATTTTCACAATTTTATCATTTTTTGGTCCAGGCTATCAAACCATTTCAACATTCACAGGGTTATGGTTTACCTTATCAATTTATTATTTCCGTAACGTAACTTCAAACTGGTGGCTATTAGCATATTATTTAATGAACAGTATTGGAGGAACATTTGCATTTTGGGGTTCTTACAATACCGAAGAGAGCCTTTGGGAGTTTATTACCCTTATTTATACAATGCTTCCTATATTGTTTGCGAATCTGATAATTTTGATTAGTTTAAGTGTAGATAGATGGTATGAAATTGGTTTCAAAGAGGAGAATAGCAATGATGGTTATGATGGTGATGACGATAGTAATGCTAATGATGACAATGGTAGCGATAAAGGATGGATTAAATCATTAGTGTTTCCTTGTGTTTGGACAGGTATGATGATATTTGGTTTTTTTTATCTGATAACCAATTAAAATGATTTTGTTAAAATATACATTAATTTTATATATATTATTAATTTTAGGTGTTTGGAATTTGGTTGTTTTTACTTGGCCAGTTGGTGATTATTTTAATTATGCGTGAGTTTTATCAATTAATCTTTATTAAAAAAATTTTGGTAATAAAAATAAATATAATATTAAAAATATAAATTTCTTATTTAGACATGTATTGTTAGGAATTAATGAAATGATGCAATTTGCTTCATTTGCAGGATTAGGTGGGCTAAACTTCATTTTATCATGGGGAGGAAGTGTGGGTGCAGATCTGATCAAGAAGTATCTAGAAAATGATTTGATTGTTAGAATTCAAAAAGAATCATCATCACCACCATCACCAACAATTGATCCAAATAGACATGAAGATTTAGGAGATCAACATAATGATGAAATAACAGTAACTGTAATTCCTCAAAATAAAAATAAAAATGACAATAAACCCTTCATATTCAAACCTCCAAAGTCATTATTGATCTACCTTTTGGCATTATTTATGATTATTACATATGGATCAATAAAACTTTCAACTTCTTACATACCATTTTATCAACAAAATATTGAAAAATTTACATCATCTAAATTAACCAAGGTTGGGTGTGTCATCAAAGGAAATGACATTTTTGATGATAATCAATATTACATTGACAGAACCATAGAATTAGCGAGCAATAATAATGAATTGATTTTGTGGTCAGAGACAGCAGGGCTTGTAACAAGACAGGAAGAATTGGATAATTTGATTGTGATAATGAAAAATATTTCAGTTTCTTACAGCACTACTATTGGGTTTACATTTCTTGATGAAATAATAAAAGACAGATCTTATAATAGGCTGATTGTTATAACACCAAGTGGAGAGGTGGCAATTGATTATAGGAAATCTCATTTGGTACCAATTTCAGAGTCGATACTTACAAGAGGAGAAAATCAATTACAAACTTTTGAATCAGATAATTTTGGAGTGGTAGGAGCAGCTATTTGTTTTGATTATAATTTTCCTAGCCTAATTGGTCAAGCATCAACAAAAAATGTTGATTTTATGTTGGATTCTAGTTGGAATTGGGTATATTTATAATTATCTGTGTGTATATTTTTCTCCAATTATAAATAATATCCTAATTATGTATTTCATTTTATATCTTGTTTAAATAGGGTGAGTAAATTTTTTCCTTGTACATAATCAGGTATATCCTCATTAATAATATTGCAATAAAAATATATAATAGGGCCATCAGGAATTTATCATCCTCGTATAAATGTTATTAGAACAATTGAAAATGGATTTACCATGATGAGATGTGACAGATATGGAATATCAGGTGTTTGGGATTCCAATGGACAAACTTATAATGCAGTACCAACATTAAGTAATTTAACAATATCATTTGATTTTCCAATCAAAAAACGCACCAAAACTGTTTATGGAGTATTTGGTGAAAGTTTGGGATATATCTGTTTAGTTTTGGCTTTAATCATAGTCAGTTTATTAGCATTTTTTAAATTTTCTAAACAAGAAAATATTAAAAAGAAAATCAAAAAATGGATCTAATTGTTATTGTATTTTAAATACTTATATTTTAAAAAAATTAAAATTAATACTTGTTATATAAAATAATAATAACATCTTTGTGAGAAATAACATGATTATCTGAAAGTTAACAACTCACATTTGAGCAATTTCTTGGCATTATCAGTAATTTTCAATTTATTATCCAGATTCTCTTCTCAATCATCGGTTCCATAGTAATAGTGGGTGGTTGAAGTTCAAATTAGCTAATCAGAATTTTTTGTCCAAACATTCTATCCAAAATTTGTTTTACATACAACAAATCTGATGTCATATTTATATTTTTATAGGAATAGTCCTATATGTCATTTATGAAAAAACACATAACAATGGGACATTGTAAAGCTGTTAATATTAAAATTACATCAGTGGTTGGGTGTTATAAGTATAATCATATGGGGCATACTGCAATTGTAATGTGATTATATTTAAAAGTAATATATAGAACTCCTAATAGAGTGCATCATTGTGGCTTGGGATTATTTAATTATCAAGTGACTTATACATGGGATCTATTAAAAAATGTATGCGGGCAAGTGACTGTTGATGAATTTGATAAAAGACTATAGCTGGAATTCCTAGGTTTCCCAGGTTAAAGATATTTAGGCATGGTCTTGAAAATACAAAAAGATTTACTGCTGGTGAATTCTGTAATATGATGAAAGTATTAGTATTTGTTATAGACGGGCTCGTTATAAAGTATCATAATACTTCAGATACTACAGTGAAAAGGCTTGAAGATTTTGCCAAAAATATAAAAACAATTCTCTTGATTATGAATAGCAGGTATAACTTTTTTAGGTTTATAATTTGTTAAAAGAATTAAAAAGAGAAAATAGATCAGTATTTAATAATACAGATTATTTTTTCTTCTAAGGATTTTTGCTTTTTGTTGGGTAATAGCACACTTTCATTCAGCTTTCTTTTCTTAATGTTTATTATTTTTCTTTCCTCTTGATAAATTTCATAAGTAATCCTTTCTTTGTCTAAATATGTTTGCAAAGATTTGGTATCTGCTAATTTAAAAATATAAGGAGCAATTTTTTCACCCTGTTCTTTCTTCAAAATACTTCTAATGTGCTATAATTCTTGGGTTTCATAGTAGATCTGATGTAAATGAGTTTCATATTAATTATTTTTATATAGGGATAATTCTATATATCACAAATGGATATTATAAAACTGATAATTATAATCACATTACAAATGACTAAATTTTGATCCCTGAAATTCTTAGTAATACCAATGTTCACTTTGTCTGGTTTTGTTGCAGCATGTCCCATATATACTGCAACCTACTTGTGTTAGACTGTTACCTACTTATGAGTAGATTGTTACCTACCTATGTGGCCTATTTCGTTTTTTTGACCACATTTGAGTGTGGTCAATTTTCATCATCAGGCCACATGCAAACTATCATCATGTGGCCAATTTTCATCATCAGGCCATATGTGAACCATTGTATATCTATTTGGTGTTTACAGCCAGTTTCCACCATTTGACCACATGTGGGTATTGTATATCTATTTGACGCCCATGACCAGCTTCTGTCATTTGGCCACATTTGAGGGCAGTGTGGTTCGAAAAAATGACCACATTCGAGGGCAGTGCATTTCAATAAATTGGCCACACGTGTAGTGATGTTAGCCGGCTAAGAAAATTCTAAACGGCCTAGCCGGCTAAGAAATTTTTAAACGGCTTAGCCGGCTTGAGCCAATCAAATTCTATTCTCAAAAATAATAAAAAATATTCATTCATTCGTAATGCCGCCAAAAAAGAAAAAGAAAACTAATCCACAAAATAAGCAATTAATTAGTTCCAACACTCGTAGCAAAGCAAATTCTTGGTCTGGTGGGTCATTGCATAACAATATTAACAATGGGTTAAATAACAGTAGTAATATTAATAGTATTAGTAGTAGTGGTAGTAGCAACATTAATAATTGTATTAGTAGCAGTAGTAGTAATAATCGCAGCAATGATAATAATAATAGTAATGATAATAATAGTATTAATAATAATATTAATAATAGTAGTAATATTAATAATAGTATTGATATTAAAAAAAAAGAATTAGATTGAACCAAAATAATCTTCATAATATACTGTTTTTGAGAGAAAATTATAAACTTTTTGATCGATAAGTTGGTTAATTTTTTAATTTTTATATTAATCGATTTTTTATCATTATTATGTTTTAATTGAATTTCTCAATAAGAATTTATTTGATCAAATGTTAGCTGGCTAGAATATTCATCAACAGTGATTTTATTTATTTTTGGATACAAATTTCTGATTGGGACAATTTAAATTTCACGCACAACGTTTAGTAAAATAATAAAAAAACTCGATTTTTAGTGAATTTATACAAAGTATAATATTTGTCTACTAAATTATTAGATAAAAAATTTATTCAAGTTCTTAGCCGGCTAAGGTTTTTCTACCGGCTAACATCACTATGAAAAAGCATTTGACAAAAGAATAGTATTTCAAAATAATATGATCTAGTTAAGTAGAATACTCTGACTGGGAGTATATCTAGCCATACATTTTGGTAAAGGGATTTTTGTTGCCTTTTACAATAAGTATATAAAAAAAATTCAATCGGAAAATAATACCTTGACACCTGGACCATACATAGATGGTTTTTGTGTTGCATAATTTTGATTGAGGACAACAATCCGCAGATAGTAAAGTATATAGGTATAATGGGTCAGCAATCTGCAGATATAATTTAGCCATTTACATATAAAAGAAAGGCTTCCAAAGCTCCAAAACATATCATGCTTGATTTTTAAGTCAGCAAACCACATAATTTTTATCAATTCCTGATAACCAATTCAATCAACTAAAAACATTAAGAAATGTGTGGTTTGCTGACTTAACTCTGTTAAGATTTTTTATATATCTATATCCACCATACCATCTCTATATCAAGGCTTGCTTATCCTTTTTCATAATATAAAAACAGAAAACAGATATACTTATTACAATACTTTGAGTATTACCAAGTAGGGATAGCAGAGCTAGTGTCTTTGACACATGACAATTCGGCACTATGTGCCTCATCCCTCATCATAAAAGCCAAAATAAGCATTTTCTTGAAAAATGTCCTTGGATAAAAATGGCTCAGATCAAGTTCCTGATATACACCTAAATCTAACCAAAAAATTCTAGTCAATAACTTTTTTGCATATCAGAAACCATCTCTAAAGCATTTTTCCCCAGAATAATACTTATAGATGACTGTCAACATGTGTTGATGATTGACATGAATGTTACATGGTGGAGTCTGAAAATGCAAATGACCACATGTGGCCAATTTATTGAAATGCACTGCCCTCGAATGTGGCCACATCATTTTCCTGATGATAGTTTGCATGTGGCCTGATGACGAAAATTGGGTGAATTTAATGATGTTTCTAGGCTTAGAGTAGGACTACAAATATAACATTCATGATTGTTGTGATTGATGAGTTGATCTGATAAATAAAGGAAAAACAGATTTATCTCTAGTTCAGAATTTATTCAGCTAATTAATTGATTTCCTACAAAAATAATCCAAAAACCTGTCCTATTAAAGCTGTGTTGACTTCAAAGAAAGGTTCATTCATCAAAGTCTTCTATACCATTTATTGGATTGAATTGAATATAAATGTGTCCAGCCATATTTTCCTGTTTAATAATATTCTCAAACCAAAGGTTAATATAAATTTATTATTTTTAATTAATTATGACAAAATAATTTCCTGCAACAAAAACATTTCATCAGGTATCATTTAATCATAACATCCCACATCCTTACTTCTCCCCATTTCTTCATTTCATCCTCCAACCTCTTCTTTTCTTCCTTCAATCTGTCTCTTCGTTCTTCCCGCCTCGTCTTCTGCCCATTACTCCATTTCCCTTCCATCAACCCTCCTCCAATTCTTCCAACGTTTTCAAATTCTTCTTCTCTCATCTCTTCAACTTTTCTGCAATGTTTTTATTCTTTTCAATTTTTCGATCGTTTTCATTTTTTAGTATAAAAATCTGAAATTTTGTCGGGTTCGGTTGCAAATTATAAATTTATACGGGTTCGGGTTCAATTATAATGACTCTAAAACATAGTAAACTTGTGCAACTTTGAGGCTTGATATCTTCATGGTAACATTTTAGCATTAAAGTTACAATGTTGATTAATAATAAAGTGATCGATGTTAGCTGGTGACGCTAATCGTCACGTAAACAGGATTTTAGAAATTCAGTTTCGAGCGGAATCACGTGCAGCTTCGAATTGATACAAGAATCTACTCTTAAATAGAAGTAGTAGTCATCGTATTTTATTTGTACAAGTGGGACTTTTGATATTTATAATTCTTTTAAACATTTTTTCATGTTGCAGATATTGGATTTTCTTGGCGCCATTATTATCATCATGTGAATTTTTTTATTTAAACTTTGCAAAGAAAATTCTAGAAATTAATTGATGTTTCTCACAACTTTGTTCTGAAAAAAAAAAATGCCATTTTTTGAAGAGATATTCGAAATTCTTCCATATAATTTTATCAAGCCAATAAAATTACCACCTTGGTTTATCAATGGTGATAATTTTAATCAAAAATTTGTTCCAATAAACGTTTCGACAACATCAACAGATTATATTATCAGAGCAATTTTACCAGGAATTACAATAAATCAATTATCAATTGATATAACGAATGATGATATTCTTACTATTAGTGGAGAGCATAAGAAGAAATCCGATAATGATGAGGAAAAACCATTGATTGTTGAAACGATGGGTATTGAAGGAAGTTTTACTAGATCTATAAAATTTCCTAAAGATAGTATTGATATTGATAATATTAAAGCCGAATTTAATAATGGCGAATTAATTATTAAAGTCCCAAAGAAAAGTAATATTATTGCAAAGGATAAAAAGAAAAAAATTCAAATATTAAAATCTAAATTATAATTATTTTTATTAAAATACAAATCAAAAAATTTATTATTATTAATTATTGGCTTTTGAAATAATAATATGTAAAGCATCATCAATAAAATATTATTTATACGATAATATACACATTATTTATTATTAAAAATACTTTTTCCTTGTTTTACAAGAAAAAAATCAGCATCATCAGATACTCGTTAATCTATGCGAGAGAAATTTGTATTTCATTTAAAAAATTTATCTATTTAAACATTTAAAATAATTTAAAATCAATTTAAGTTATAGTAAGCCCCCGTTTAGCTTAATCTAACATTTTCATGTATAAAAAAAAAAGTAGATATAAATTACTTACTCTTAAAATCAGCATCATCTTGACGGACTTCTGTGTATGAGACAGTTGAACTTCCAATTTTATTTTCTCCCTTTCTCAAGAAAACAATCGACAATGTAACATATGCAACAATTATAACCGTTGTATAAATGTAATAGCCAGCAATGTATGCTTTAGCGACATTAAAAATATTAAGACCAATAGGGATTTGTATAAATGCAAGAATAATAATAGATCTTCCAAACCACCTATAAATAGATTTTAATAATAATTAATTTATAAATTTCTTTTAAGGTGTAATGAGACCATTCTTTTATCATATAAGATATCGTTATTGTATTCAAGTATGCAGAAGGTCTAGTAGCAATAGTCAAATTTATATATATATACATAATTCTTACCAATGAACTTTCGTCCACCAAGGAGTATATTTACGTTCTGAACTATATAAATGATGATGAATTGCTCCAATTAAAAGTTGAATAATCAAACAACATGTTAAAATGGCACCAATAGCCTACAAGTAAATGCATGCATTAATTATATTTATAATATTTATTAATTTTTTTTTAAAAAACAAAAGAGAGCTTACATGATGTCTACTTTCAATATTAAATTTTACACCGGCAAGATATGCCGTTATTATACCAGTAATTGATAATGGTAGAGCACCAAAAGTTTGAATACTCCAATGAAGAGCAAACCAACGTTTTGGTAAAATGTTTCTTGCAAAGCGAGAAATAAAAACACCACCAGGAACAACAAAACCCCAAGAAACAAACATAGTTAAACCATGAATGAAAATAAAAGTATCATGTGAAGTGGCCTCAGTTATTGTATCAGTTGTAGCAGTAGCGGTGGGATCATATGGAATAGGCGTGTCTATGGTAATATCAAATTTACCAATCGCATTATGTCTTTCAATTTTCATGGTGTTTGGATCTTCATCAGGTCGTTCAGCATCATGAATGGCCCAGATATAATTGGTTGTGTCTGTGGTGATTAAAGAACCGTTGACGGATAATGGACGTTTGAAAAGTACCACAAATTTATTACTTTGAATACCACTTGATGGATCTAATGTTATATCATCTTGATGCTCAGTCACAATTGGAACTTCATGTCCTTTGGCAATACGTTGTGAAATTATAGCACCGCCATTTTCACGAGGCCATGCCATCTAATAAATTAATCAAAAAAAAGTAAACAAATTTGTTTTAAGAAATAATTTATTTAGCAATTAAATTAAAAAAGTCACAAATACAATCAAACTTACCACCATATAACTTCCAACCATATTCTTTCCAATTCCAAATGCCATCCAACTAATTCAAACAATTAATTATTGACTTTACTTAATATATGAAAAGTATATAATATTGTTATGAATATGGATATGAACGTGAACATGAATACGTTAAGTGTTACATATTGCTTACCCAACCGTTGACGGTGCTTCCATACGAAATGACGCATAAATTTTTCCTGGCTCAAAGTAAACATTAGGAATTGATACCGTCAAACAAAATTGAGATTCTATATCACAATTCATTTTTTGTGTAAAAGCACCTACGTGTTTTGATTTTTTTTGAAATTATCATTAATACTTTTGAAAATATGATATATAATAAAATATATAATCGATTTACCTTGTAATATGGTTAATAAAACCACTAATATCATTAATAAACCAACATTTTGTTTGAACATGATAAATAACTTGAATTTTGCAAATTAAATAATAAATAACTAAAGTTCGAAAGCCGGATAAAAATAATAACAAAAAGCTTGATTATATAAATTTGGCCTTTTTGGCTTTCTTTCTAATACTACCTACTAAAATATACTATTCTGAATGTTTTTCCATATCTTTAATATTTACTAAAATTTATTTATATGTTGTAAAACACGTCTTTAAATTAATATGGCTTAAAAAAGAAAACGATCGTCATAGTCATATTGCGTTTATGAAGTAAAAAAAATTAAATATTCATAGAGACAATGGCGAATTGCTAATTCAATTTGGCATCATAAATAGAAATTAAATTAACATATAAGATAACGATCAAAGTTAACGGCATTGAAAGGAAACTTGTGTATTAAAATTCTTCTACTCAAATTTTTTTTATTGCTATTATTATTAACAAAAAAAAAAAGAAAGTAAAAGTAAAAAAACTTCTCAAAAAAAAAATCTAATTTATATGTGATTTAAGTGAATCTGATACGGAAAGAAATTCGAATAAAACATTCATTTAGTTCTAAGTGTAAAAAAAAAATATTGAACATAAATCGATTAATATTTGTATGTGTAAAATAATTGAATGAATACTATAAGTTTAGTTTATAATTTTCTTTGAGGTAATCTTTTTTCGTAATTTTGTCGAGCTTACATTTTTATCTGTGCCTGTGTATCTTAATCCAAAGATTCTTCACCTGGAATTATTTATTTTTACTTGTCTCTTCTTTTAGTTCTATTTTGATATCTTTGAAATAAATAATATGCAAAAAACCCAATAGCAGCAACAGTTAAAGTTGTATAAGTTACGATAGCAGAATTTGGTTGATGTTTTATTATAGCTTTAGAAGGCATGATTCAAATAAAATAAATTATTGATTTTTAAAAAAAAAAAATCAGTTGATCATCTGCTTTATAACAGATAAGGAAAAAAAAATTTTTATGTTTGTTTGATAATCTAAAAATATATTTAAATTTTAATAAAATATAGTAATTGTTCTTGTCTAATGTTTAATCACCTTTTTTTAAAATTTAAAATTGTCATTCCAAAAATCATGTCAAATATAAGTCAACAAAAACATTGCCAAAAAGAGTTTACAACTTATTTTCCACGTGTAATAATAATACAACAACGACAATCAAAGGTTTTTTATAAGTTTGATCAATTATTGTGGTTCAAGAATTTAAAAAATTGGGGATTTGAAATAAGTAATAGGCTAACAAAACGTAAATATTCAAAATCTTCAACATCAACGTCAACAGTAATAAAACCAAGAATTCGATTGGAGGAAAAGAAAAAAAAAGGTTGTTTACGATACATTATACAATTGATCAAAGAATTTCGTGAAGATTTATCAAAATATAAGTCAACAAAAACATTGCCAAAAAGAGTTTACAACTTATTTTCCACGTGTAATAATAATACAACAACGACAATCAAAGGTTTTTTATAAGTTTGATCAATTATTGTGGTTCAAGAATTTAAAAAATTGGGGATTTGAAATAAGTAATAGGCTAACAAAACGTAAATATTCAAAATCTTCAACATCAACGTCAACAGTAATAAAACCAAGAATTCGATTGGAGGAAAAGAAAAAAAAAGGTTGTTTACGATACATTATACAATTGATCAAAGAATTTCGTGAAGATTTATCATGTGATCGACATGATAGAGTTTGGTTCACATATAAGAAAATATCCGAATTACACGCAATTCGTACATTGACTTTGAGGGATCGATTGAGATTGATAAAAAGTTTAAGAAAATCTGATTCAAGGATTTTTGTTTTGTATTGGTTGGATAGGTTTCTTGAAGATATAAATTCAAGAAATTTGAGATTGAACAGACGTACCTACGAAACAATCATATTGTTGTATGGACATTGGAAAGAAAATATCAAGGCCGAAAATATCTTTAACAAGTTACGTAATGACAAACATATTTTATTAAAAGTTAATACATATAATGTAATGTTAACTATTTATGCATATATAGGTAATTTGCAACGTATAAATGAGTTAATCGATGAGATGAAGTGTAATTCTATTCTACCAAATTTAATATCTTTCAATATGTTAATATTGGCAAATGTAAAAAATAATAATTTTCAAGAAATTTATGTAATTTTAGAAAAAATGTTAACACAACAAATTGAACCTGATATAATCACTTTCAACATAATAATTCATGGGCTGTTGGAAAAAAACGATTTCAAAGGTGTAGAAATTTGTTTAGAAACAATGGTCAGAATAAAGGTAAAGCCAAATGTTCAACTGTTTGGTAATATCATGAAGAATTATCTTAGATTGAGAGATATTCATTCCATCAAAAGATTATATAAAAAAATGATAGATCTTGAGGTACAACCTGATTTAGAAATTTATCTTATCTTGATGTTGGCATATTTTCATGATGGCAATATCAAACAAGTATTAGAAATGAAGCAGAGGCTAATTTTTAGTAAATTAACATTTCTAAGAGCCTATAATAATCTTATTAATGCTTTTATTAGGATAGATGATATGAACCTTGCATTAAAAACTTTTGATCAAATAAAAGAGAATGGACTATCACCAAATCTAATTACATATAATACTTTGATTACTGGCTTTGTAAATAAAAACAATATCAAAGAAGCGTATAAATATTTTGGGGAAATGATTAGGCAAGGCATTTTCCCAAATGTAAATGTTTTCAATACATTGTTGAGAGGCCATCTACAAACAATGGGGATATCATCTGTTGAACCTTTGGTCACACTGATGACCAATTATAAAATAGCACCAGACACTTTCACATATACAATATTAATGAAACATATTAAAGAGCAAGGAAATATTAATGATTTTGAGAAGGCAATCAATTATTATCAACGAATGTTGGAAAAATCCATTAGACCTTCTGATCGTACTTTGAACACACTACTAGACCTTATTGTTATGAGAGATATACGAGAGAAAAAAAGTTCAGAACATTCGATTATGATAAAAAATTCTTCTTTTTTTTCTACTTTTACTATTTCCACTACTAGTACTAGCACTAATAAGAGTAATAGTAATTATAAAATAAATATAGAACAGATATTTAAAGAGCTTGAAACATTAGGATTTGCGATGGACGTTGTAACTTGTTCTATTTTAATGAAGAATTTTGTGTATCATGAGAATATGATTGATGCAGAAAAACTAATGAAAATAATGAATGATCAAAATATCAATCCGAATGAATATATCTTTAATTTATTGGTGTATGGATATGCCAAGATAAAAAATATGAACATGGCACAGAAAATTGTTGAGAACATGATTGAAGCAGGGTTTGTAAAAGATATAAGAATTTATACGTCATTGATCAATGGATATGTTGAAATCGGCGAGATTAATAAAGCGTACAAGGAATTTGAAGAGATGAAACAAAATATTTTGGAATTCGATAATATTGCTTATACTTCTTTAATGAATATGTTTGCTGTAGAAAACTATATTTCAAATGTTCAAAAGATTTTTGATCATATGAAAGAATTGAACATACCAGTTGATAAAGTCACATACACTGTACTTATGAAAGGGTATGCTTTACTGGGTAGAGTGAAAAACGTTTGTTCTATTCATGAAGAGATGATAAGTTTAGGGTATGAAATTGATCCCATGACTATATCCACTTTATTAATTGCTTATAATCATCACGATAATGATAAACATCTTAAAAAAGAACAATATTAAGACAAGATGGCGAGCTTTATTACTATTTACATTGTAGAATAAATTTGAAATTTTTTTTAAATCTTTTTAATTCTACTTTTATTTTATTATAGTTGTAAATAAATTTCTGGTGAATAGAGTTTTTAATAATAATAATCATAATAGTAACAATAATAATAATAATAGATTTATAGATAGATAATCCTGATAAAAAATAATGATTTAAAATTATTAATATAATATTTATTTAATTTTATATTTACATCTGATTTAAGTAGTAATAATAATGAAAGATGTTCTTTAAAAAAATTAAAAAATTAAAAATTACAAAAAAAAATCTAAGTCTAAAAAAGTAATAAAATAAATAAACGAAATTTTGATTGTTCCTTATTACAAAAATCTAATAAAATAAATAAAAATAAAAAAATAATAGACAATATCTAATGAAACAATTAAATGTAAATAAATAAATAATAAATAAATAAATAAATAAATAAATAAATAAATAAATAAATAAATAAATAAATATTATTATTATTAATTATATTCTATAATCAATTACATTAAAAGCACATGAATTTACTTCTCTTTGCGATCTGAAGTTCTTCCAATTGATTCTCAAGTTGGGCTAAAGCTACTTCAACATTTTTCTTGGATCGTCTCTCTTGTTCTAAAGCACTCTCCATATTTCGTTTTTCTTCAATAAAATTCTTGACTTTTTCATATTGCTCTGTCGTTTGTTCTAATTGTGACTCTAAACTGGTGATTCGTTCCTCTAACCTTGTTTTCTCTTGTCGCAATTCATCTAATTTTTCTCGTGCCTCTTCTAGCATCGTTTGATTGTCATCAAGTGAATCTTTTAATGTTTCTATCATGCTTGATTTTTCTCCATTAACTTCTTCCAACAATGATATCTTTTCATTTAGACCATTAATCAATTTATTATGATTACATGTTAAAGAATTTTCTGGCGTGCTACCATCATCATCATTGCCATTCTTTATTTCACCTTTAAGATTAATTATTGATCTTCGTTTCAAATTTTTTATTTGATCTTCGAGTACCAACAATTTTTCATTCAATTCAGCAAGATAAATTGCACTTTGACTTCCGTGATTTCCTGCAGACTTCAATTGAACCAACAACGAATCAATTTTCAAATCAACTTTCTTTTGTTCCTCCATAAATGATTCATTCGCCTCTTCCAATCCTAATTTCTGAACTTCAAGTTGTTTTATATTTTCCTTTAATTTTTCAACTGTTTCAACATCTTCTATCGATTTCAACACATCCAATTCTGATTCTAAATTTTTGATTTTATTAGTTAGAATTAGGGCACAATCTTCTACTTCCACAATTTTGGAATTCAAATCGGAATTTGTTTGTTGTAGATCTTTAGTTGCTGCAGATAATTTTTCAATAGTCATTGTATTTGTTACAGATTTTCTTGCATATGTTGGTGATTCGTTGTCGTTGGAAATATTAGAAGAAATGGTATCATCATTTTTATTAATATCATTATTATTATTTGTACTACTAATATTATCGGCTAATTGTTCTTTTTCTTTTTCGACTTCCTTTAGCAACACTTCCAATTGTGTTATATGATCTTTATATTCTTGTGCAAGTTTTTCTAGTTCTTGATATTCAACAGAAACTTCTAGAAATTCTTTTGTCAATTTATCAAATTCATTTTGAAGATTTTCAATCTTTATTTCAAGATTAACATTTTTCTCTAATTCTTGTTTCTTTTCAAATTCAAGTTTTTCGTTTTGCTTGTTTAATTCCTCCATTTTTTCACGGTAGCCATTGATTTCTTCTTCTACCTTGTTCATTTTTTCATTATAGTCATTAGTAAGTTTTGTTTTTTCATCATTAACAATATCCTTTTCATTTTCCAAATTTGTACAATCTTCCTTCATTTTTTCAAGTTCTATATGTGCTTCTTTAAGTTTTATCAATTCTTCATTCCTATTGTCATCCACTTCTTGAAGTTGCTTTTCTAATGCTTGAACTAGTTCTGTTTGTTCAATTTCAGATTTTTTGACTTTTTCGAGTTCAGCCTTAGCACCGCTTAACGAATCATCCAACATCTTTATCTTTTCTTGATTCTCTTTCAAAGTACTCTCCAATTCATTAATTAACACGGTTTTGGAGGCCTCGATAAATTTCGTTTCTTCCAACTCTGAATTTAATTTATTCAATTGTGCCAATTGATGTTCTTCGATTTCTCGAATTTGTTTCTCCAATTCGTTAATTAACGTGGTTTTGGAGGCCTCAATAGATTTCGTTTCTTCCAATTCCGAGTTTAATTTATTCAATTGCGCCAATTGGTGTTCTTCAATTTCTTCAATTTGTTTTTCCAATTCACTAATTAACATGGTTTTGGAGGCCTCGATAGATTTAGTTTCTTCCAATTCCGAGTTTAATTTATTCAATTGTTCTAATTTCTGTTCTTCGATTTCTTCAATTTGTTTTTCCAACTCTTTAACTCTCTCCAATTGCTCATTTGCAAATATCTTTGTAGTTTTTAATTGTTCTTCGATATCACAAAGTTGTTCTTGAAGTTTTGAAACACGTTCACTTTCTGAACTTGTTGTTAAATCAAGCTGAGAATTTAATTTTTTAATGGAGGAATCTAGTTCAGTCAAAAGAGAATCTTTGCTAGCTATTAATCTTTCTTTTTCGACAAGAGCATCATTGGCTTCTTTTAGCACCATTTTAAATTCATTGACCATTTTCGCACGTTTTTCATCTGATAATCTTGCTTCATCAAGTTGTGATTGCATCTTTGAAAGCTTTTCTTCTAAATTTTTGACCGTTTCTTGATAAGATTTGGAATTTTTTATCTCTTCTTCAAGTTTTTTTTCCAAATCTTTTACATTTGTTTCAAAAGATAAAATTGCTTCTTTTTCTTTTTGTACTTTTTCTTCAATAACTTTATTCAATTCGTCGACATTCTCCAACAATCTATTTCTTTCTTTCTCTATATTCATCAATTGATCACCTAATTTATCCAAAAGTGCATTTTGTGATTCCATTACGAGTTTGGTATTTGCTAATTCTTCTCGAAGATTATAAAAATTAGAATCAGCAACTTTACCACCAGCCTTCATCACTTCGATTTCTTCCTCTAAACTTGCGATTTTTTTCTTATCCTCTCCCTGTTGTGCCAATGTAGTATTCAGAAATTCGGCAAGACTTTCAATGTCTTTTAAAGTCTCTGTATGATTATCTTTTACCAGATTCAATTCTTCCATCAAAATTTTCAATCCATTTTCAAGCTTCACAACAAGTTTTGTTTGTGCACAAAAATTCTCTTTCATGGATTCCCATTCTCTAATCACAGTTTCTTTTGCGTCTTTGGTGTCTTGAAGTTGTAAGTTTAATTGTTCTATAGTGGTTTTTTGATCGGTTTCTAATTCTTTTAATTTGACCAATTCGTCTTTCATGGCTTGTAAACTTTCCGATTTTTTTTCTACCAAGATCAGTTGATTTTCTAACTCTGCAACTTTTGCTTGTAATTTTTTTTCTTGTAATTTGAGTTCGGTGAGTTCATTTTTTAAATTTACAGTATTTGGATCTTCTTGGACGTGTTTTAATCTAGATTCAAAGGTTTGAATTTTCGATGATTGTTCAGATTTCTCGACTTGTAAAAGCTCAATTTCTTCATTAAGACGTTTGATTAATTCTAATTCATCTTTATTGGTAGACGATTGAACTTCAACTAACATATTTTCACGATCTTTGATCATCTTGAGTTGTTCATCTTCTTTAGCTTTTAGTATTTCGATTTCAGATTGCAGCGTGTTAACTTCTGTTTCCGATTTATTAAGTTTCAATTCAAGTTCTGCTATCGTTTTCTTTTCTGTTACTTCTGTTTTCTTGACGCTAGCCAATTCATTTCTAAGATTATTCAAATTTTCATCAACTTGACCACCTTGTTCTTTCACCTGATTTTCCAATTCTACAATTCTTTCACGTTGATTGATCTCTATATTACGAAGATTTTCTAAATCTTTTTGAAGCTTAGATTCTTCAACATCCAATAAACGTAATCTTTCCAGGGCAAATGCTTCTTTTCCTTTCACATCATTAAATTCTTTTCGAATCATTTCCAATTCAGTTTGAAGTAATGCAATTTTACTGCTTTCAGAATTTTCCAATTGTAATTGAAGTTCTTGTAATCGTCGTTGCATATCTAAATCTTTAATCCTGGCATCTTTCAATTGATTAGACAATGTTATTAAATGATTTTCTTTGTCGCTTAATTTTTCTTTTAATTTATTTTGATCTAGTAAATCATTTTTTAATCGTCTGATAAAATCGTTTTTACGTTTAATATCAGATTTCAAAGTCTCAAGATGACTTAGTAATAAGGTTACCAATTCTTTTTGGTTATGTGAAGTTTCTATGGTATCTGGTGAATTTGTTATTTCTTTTTGCAATATTACTAATTGTTCTTCAAGTTTGCCTACTGTTTTTTGTGTAAGATTATCAATTTCCTCATTTTCAATTTGAATTTTGTTTATTGTTGTGTCATTTTGATTATTATTATCCTTATTACGATTGTTGTACGCTTTAGCAAGTTTTTCTTCGAGATTCCTAACACTATCCTCTAAAACCGACACATTCTCATCAATATTTTGTTCAAGCTTATCAGAAGATGTTCCTTCACCGTCGTCATCACCATTACCAACATCATTGTTATTATTAGCAACATTATTATTGTCATTATTATTATTAGATTCAATTAAACGATTTACTCTGTTATTTTTTTCTTGAATTGCAAGTCGATGAGCTTCTTTAACTTCATGAAGATTTTTTTCAAGTAGTTTAATTGTGTTTTCATGTTCAGAATTTGGAAGCAAAAGATCGGCAATAGTTTGATCTTTTGTTGAAATATCAGCCTGAAGTATAACGATTTTTTCTTGAAGGATTGTCAAATCACGAATATTTTTTTCGTGAGTTTTTGACACTTCTTGATAAATAATCGCATCTTTGTTTTGTTGTTCTTTCAATTCCTTTATTTGAGATTGTAATCCTTTAATTTGATTTTCATATTTTTCTTTGATATTTGTATCAATAAAAGATGATTTTCGTACTGCTTCTTCTTCTTTTTGTTTAGCTAATTGTAATTGACGACCTAATTCAACAAGATCATTTTCTAATTTTTCAATTTCTACAGTTTTCTTTTCATTTTCACTTTTATATTCAGAGATATTGCCAACTAATTCCTTTTGTTTTTCATAAAGTTGTTCAATTTCCTTCTTTAAATTTTCGGTAATTTCAACTTCTTTAATTTGACCTGAAGAAGTTGAAGTTGAAGTTGAAACAAATTCTTTTTTATCAAGAGAATTTGTGAGTTCAAAATTGGCCAACCCGTCACGTTTTTTAAGTTCTTCGCGTAATTCATCGACGAGTTGTAATGTTTCGTGATAACTTTGCTCTAATCTTGTCAATTCACGTTTAACGGCATCCAAACTTTGTGATTTATCTTTATGGAACGATTCGAATAATTGAAGTTCAAATTGAAGTTTTTCAATAATTGACATATATTCAAGTTCTTGTTTATCTATTCTATTAATATCCGATGATAAAGATTTGGCTTTAC